TTGGGTGTATGCTTTTAGGATTCCTCGAACATCCTCCTGCAAGGGGACAGGCCCGACTTAAGAGTAGGCTCCGCAGGATGCGCCGGCGAGCGAGGGGGGGGGGGGCAGGTGCGAAGGCGGAGGCCTCCTCAGAGGGCGGCGGGGCTCCTCAGGAGCCCTCGCGCCTGCCGAGAGGCAGCCTGTCGATTCGGGGAAGGCTTAAGTCGGGCCTGCCCCCCCACAGGGGGAGTTTCGACGAACAAAAATAAAATACCCCAAACATACCCCAAAAAGGTAAAAAAAAATACCCCCCCCCCCAAAAAAAAGTCCCCAGACTATTTTTGGATGATTTTTTGATTATGTTTGGGGTATTTCTTGTTTTTCGTCTAAACTCCCCCTGTAGGGGGACACGCCCGACTTCGGGGAAGGCCCAGGACGACTCTCAGAAGGCCTGGGGACTCCCGAGCCTTCGTTTCATTTGGCCTGTCCCTCTACAGGAGGAGTACTCCAAAAGAGTGCAAACATAGGCTGACGACTACTTTTGTGGAGCATCTTTTGGCCATTGTTGCGTTTTGTTTGGGGTATTTGTTTATTTCTTTCGCTCGGGGCACTGGATCCTGCACTGGATCCTGCAGGATCCAGCGAAGGGCAGTAGTCAGGGCTCTGGATCCTGCAGGATCCTGCGAAGACCCCCTCTGGCTGCCCCCGGGTTGGCGAGCCCCTCATGGCCGCCAGGCGGCTGCGCATATTGGCTGACCCGGGTTTGCGAAGCCCTGCGTGGCAGTTTTTTTTTCTCCTGCATGACAGTTTTTTGGTTTCCTGCTGACCCGGGTTTGGATTGACCCAGGTTAGCAGACCCCCGATGTCGGAAGCCAACGTGCCCCACCACCACCGTAAGTTGGAGGAGGGAAGGAGGAGGAGGAGGACGAGGAGGAGGAGGAATAGGTGGAGGAGGAGGAGGTGGAGGAGGAGGAAGAGGAGGAGGAGGAGGAGGACCCCCTCCCCCTCCAACTTATGGTGGTGGCGGTGGAAAACAGTCGCTCGGACGTGTGATGATTTTCTCGTTTTCTGCTCGTCGCCCGTTCTCGCCGCCAGGCTCCCTCTGGGTGGTCAACGAAGCATTTTTTGCTGTGTCTCGGCGAGGAGACCATCGTGAGGCACCCCGGAGCATCTCGCGAAACAGGCGCGCGAGACCGGAGCGTGCACGGGGACTGGACGTCC